TAACATCTAAAACAATTGAACTAGTAGAAGCAGAGGGTAGAATGGTAGTTACAGAACCTGGTGGGAGGGGGTAGGAGAGGGAAAGTAGACAGAATCTCAGGAGGAACATAGGTTGGTCTGCTTTTTTTAGCTCTTGCGCAGTATGTTGAATATAGTTAATCACAGAGTATTGTACATTTTTAAATTGCTAAGAGTACATCTCAAATGTTCTCACTATAAACAAGTTCAGTATTGAGGTGATGAATGTGTTACTAGCTTTTAATTACTGTACATTGTATTCATAATTTATATCACTCTATGCTATAAGTTTATACAATTATAAATTTATCAACTTGTAATTTTTAAATGTACCTAAACTATCTTTATCTGAAATGATTTTAAATGGAATATAATATAGTCAATGGTTTTTATTTTTATTTATTTATTTTTTTGAGGTGGAGTTTTGCTCTTGTTGCCCACGTTGGAATATAATGATGCGATCTTGGCTTACCTCCACCTCACCTCCCAGGTTTAAGCAATTCTTCTGCCTCAACCTCCCAAGTAGCTGGGATTACAGGCATTCACTACCATACCTGGATAATTTTGTATTTTTAGTAGTCATGGGGTTTCTCCATGTTAGTCAGGCTGGTCTCGAACTCCCGACCTCAGGTGATCCGCCTGCCTCGGCCTCCTAAAGTGCTGGGATTATAGGCGGTTCACACCATGCCCAGCTTGTGTTTTTTATTTGTAATAAAACTCAAAAAAAAAAGTACTTCTCATCATTCAAAAAAAAAAAATTCTTGCAACTTCCAAATTAACGGGTAGGTCAGTGAAAAGTTCATAATCTTACCCTTTAAAACCATAAATTAGTGTAAACTGAAAAAGTATGAGGCTTAAAGAGACCTTGGATTGCTATTTGGAATATGAGTAATTTTTTCATGTTTATATTATATTTTCTAATGAGTCTGAGATTGTTTGGTATCAGACAGAAGCTTTTCTTTTTTGTTTGTTTGTTTTGAGACAGAGTCTCACTGTCACTCAGGCTGGAGTACAGTGCTGTGATCTCGGCTCACTGCAACCTCCACCTCCTGGGTTCAAGCGATTCTCCTGCCTCAGCCCCCCGGGGAAGCTGGGATTCCAGGCACATGCCACCACACCAGGCTAATTTTTGTATTTTTAGTAGAGACAGAGTTTCACCATGTAGGCCAGGCTGTTCTCGAACTCCAGACTGCAAGTGATCCACCCACCTCGTCCTCCCAAAGTTCTGGAGTTGCAGGCGTGAGCCACTGTCACCCAGGCTGGAGTACAGTGCCACGATCTTGGCTCACTGCAGTCTCTACCTCCCGGGTTCAAGTGATTCTCCTCCCTCAGCCTCTGGGGAAGCTGGGATTACAGGCACATGCTACCACACCTGGCTAATTTTTGTGTTTTTAGTAGAGACGGGGATTCACCATGATGGCCAGGCTGTCCTTGAACTCCTCACCTCAGTTGATTTGCTGATATCAGACCTCAAGTGATTCACCTGCCTCAGCTTCCTAAGCAGTTGGATGACAGGTCTAAGCCACTGCACTTAGCCTGATTTAAAAAAAAAATGTTTTGTGGTACAAAGAGGGACTATGCAAAGTAACCTCTCACACCAGTTATCTGCTTTACTTTCTATGATAAAAATATTTCCATAACTTTTTTTAATCCAGTTTGGTGGGTCAGTGAAAAAGACCTAAAATGTTTGATTAATTAAGAATCAATTTACATAACCCAGGTAGTCTGATTTCCCTTTCCGCTGTCATCTTTCCACCCCTAAAAACAACCTATTGTTGGCAGGGCGCGGTGGCTTAGCCTGTAATCCCAGCACTTTGGGAGGCTGAGGCAGGTGGATCACGAGGTCAAGAGATCGAGACCATCCCGGTCAATATGGTGAAACCCCGTCTCTACTAAAAATACAAAAAATTAGCTGGGCACGGTGGTGCGTGCCTGTAACCCCAGCTACTCGGGAGGCTGAGGCAGGAGAATTGCCTGAACCCAGGAGGCGGAGGTTGCGGTGAGCCGAGATCGCACCATTGCACTCCAGCCCGGGTAACAAGAGCGAAACTCCGTCTCAAAAAAAAAAAAAAAAAAAAAAAACCTATTGTTTACCCTCTTGTATTGTGATTAGGTTATTTGGTATAATGGAAAAGTGGAATTAAGGTTTACATTGAAGAGTATTAAAAAATTCTAGTCAGTAAAGTGCTAGATGACATAAGCTTTCTTTTGTGTATAGATCACAAAGGGCAAATCTCTCTTAGAATCCAGTAATTTGTAATGATGCTTCATTCTGCTGTCTAATCTTCATAATGGCAATTTTAGATATTAATGAGATTTATTTAATTATGGTTTTAAAATTTCTCAAGTACTCATATTCTATATTCTCTCTAGTAGAATAGCCAATAAATACAGATTTGATATTCATTTATAACTGATAATTGTCTTTTTCTTTTTCTTTTTTTTTTTTTTTTGAGACGGAGTTTCGCTCTTGTTACCCAGGCTGGAGTGCAATGGCGCGATCTCGGCTCACCGCAACCTCCGCCTCCTGGGTTCAGGCAATTCTCCTGCCTCAGCCTCCTGAGTAGCTGGGATTACAGGCACACGCCACCATGCCCAGCTAATTTTTTGTATTTTTAGTCGAGAAGGCTTCTCACCATGTTGACCAGGATGGTCTCGATCTCTTTATCCCGTGATCCACCCGCCTCAGCCTCCCAAAGTGCTAGGATTATAGTCTTGAGCCACCATGCCCAGCCAATAATTGTCTTTTTCTAACCATTATTTTTGTGCTATCACTGAAGTACCTGCTCAGTACGGTAGATAGTCTCTCACAAACACTAGAAAAAGAGACCATCATCTTGGGTACACTATTAATATGATGGATAAAATAATTATTTTTTTTTCACACAGAACATTGCAAGTTTGTTTTTCTCAAGTTCATTCTTTAACCAAATGCTCAGTTGTTTCCTTTTCTTATCACTCAGCTATTCAAGCTTAAGCGTAGTTTTTTGTCAAATGTAGTTGTCACACTTCACAGTTCAAGTGTGTTATAGTAGATCAGTAACATTATCCTGACAGGGAAATTATGATTTGCTAAGGAGCAAAAACAAAAAGATTGAAGAAGAAAAAATGTAGTGCCTATGTATCCTTACATAGTTTTGTAATTCATTTTGCTTTTAACATACTTTAGTAATGGACAAAAATGTACAAACACTGATGCACATAGTGAAATATCATAGTACAAGTTGCTGCTAACCCAGACCGTAATGTTTAAAATTATTCTGTGAGGATTAGTGGTTGTATTAAACCTGAAAATAAGATGAAAAATAAATTGCTAGGGCATATTTCTAATGCCGGTGAACACAGCCCATTGAGTCAGGGGGTCTGTTTAGAACCGATGCTTTACCAGGGTTCTAAGTCCTTATATAACCTGGTTCTCTGTCAGGTGCTCTCATTTCTTCCTGCTCTTCCCATTCACATGGACCTTGCTGTTTTTGGAACACACTGAGCACCTTCCTCTCAGGGCTTTGCGCTTGTTGTCCTCTGTTTGGAATATTCTTTTATATGACTGACGTCTTCCCTTGCCTTTACGTTTCTGCTGAACCTTTTTAGAGAAATCTTACCTGTTCCTGCTCTCCTTCCGTCACTTTCCATTCTTACCTGTTCCTGCTCTCCTTCCGTCACTTTCCGTTCTCTCATCTTCTGATTTTCTGCATACTACCTGATTTGTTCTTTCTTTAATTCCTTTCACTGCAATATAATCTCCACAAAGGCAGGAACTTTATCTTATTCAGTGCATTATTATCTTTATGACTGGAGCATAGTAAATGTTCGTGTCAGTGAATGAATGTTATGGAATATGTGGTTTTCCCTAAATGTAGTATTGGGGCTTACAGGAAAAATACATAAATAAATGTTGGAGATGAAAATTGTCTCTGGAAAGTACCTGGGCTTGGATAACATAGAAAATTGTTGGCAAGGTATTCCCCTCTGACTGATCTTGACTATTCTGGTTAATTCCTTGTGATTTTTCTAACAGGTTTCAGGAATCAAGGGATTTGTTGGAATCCTAATTTAGAGGTCCTTTATTTCTGGGACTCTCTTTTTGACTCTGAAGTGTTTGCCTGCTGACTTTCTGGTTTTATAGCCTATAGCTTCTCTGCACTATTATTTACATATATGTATATATGTGCCATAATTTTTCTAAATATATTATCTGGTATTTACTCAACTTCTATTTTACAGACTTGATAATTTTCTTTTCTTTTTTTTTTTTTTTGCGATGGAGTTTTGCTCTTGTTGCCCAGGCTGGAGTGCAATGGTGCAGTCTCGGCTCACTCTGCAACCTCTGCCTCCCAGGTTTAAGTGATTCTGCTGACTCAGCCTCCCGAGTAGTTGGGACTACAGGCATGCGTCACCATGTGCAGCTAATTTTGTGTTTTTAGTAGAGACGGGGTTTCTCCATGTTTGTCAGGCTGATCTCCAGCTCCCGACCTCAGGTGATCCGCTTGCCTCGACCTCCCAAAGTGCTGGGATTACAGGCATGAGCCACTACACCTGGCCCAATTTTCTTTCTTTCTTTTTATTTGAGACAGTGTCTTACGCTGCTCCCAGGCTGGAGTGTAGTGGTATGATCTTGGCTCACTGCATGCAGCCTTTGCCTCCTGGTTCAAGTGATTCCCCTGCCTCAGCCTCCCCAGTAGCTGGGACCACAGACATGGGCCACCACAGCCAGCTAATTTTTTAGTTTTTCTTTTGTAGAGATGGGGATCTCACTATGTTGACCGGGCTAGTTTTGAACTTCTAGCCTCAAGTGATCCTCCTGCCTTGGCCTCCCAAAATGCTGGAATTACAGGCATGAACCACTGTGTCAGGCCCAAAATTCTTAATTATCTTCAGGATTCTGCCTGAGCTTTGGCAGAGCTAGGATTCCGTTTACATGCTGGTTTGAGAGAGATTCGCCTTATTGGATGTGTTTAAACTGTTTTTTTTTCCCCCTATAGACAGTTCAAGAAGAAGAGAGAGAGATTTACAGACAACTGCTACAGATGGTCACAGGGAAACCGTTTTCTATAGCCAAACCAACCACACATTTTCCTTTACACCTGTGAGTCACAGAAACATATTTCAGATGAATTTAATTCTACAGTGTATCACTTGATGTTGAAACAGTATTCTTCTCTTGCTAGGTCTCGATGTCTTAGTTCCAGTAAAAATACTTTGAAATACTCACTGTTTAAAAATGGAAATTCTTGTGCATCTCAGATCATTGGCTCTGATACTTCGTCATCTGGATCTGCCAGCGTTTTAACTACACAGGAACAGCTGTCCCACAGTGTGTATTCCCTGTCTTCTTATGCCCCAGATGTTACTGCTTTTGGATCCAAAGATTCTGATATTCTTCATCAACCCCATCATCACCACTCTGCTGCACATCAGCCAGATACCTTAGCAGCTTCAAATACACAATCTGAAGGTAAACATGGTATCGTATAACTATATTTTTAGTCTTAATAGCCAATTAGCTGTTTATTAGCTCTATTACAGGCAACATTATAATATACATGTAAATCAACATTACAATCTGAGCATCCTGAATCTGAAAATATGAAATCCAGAATGTTCCAAAATCTGAAACTTTTTGAATACCAATATGATACTCTAAGGAAATGCTTAGTGGAGCATTTGGGATTTTGGATATTTGGATTTGGGATGCTCAAATTGTATAATGTAAATATTCAAAAATTAAAAAAATCCAAAATTTGAAACTTCTGGTCCCAAGCATTTTGGATAAGGGATATTGAACTTGTAAGACATGTACTTATATACTTTAAATACGTATGATTCAGTTAACCATGGTATGAGTAAGCTAAACCCACAAATAAGATACTCTCTTTTTTAACCTCAAGATGCAAATGATTTATTTTGTTTAAACAATTAACTTCCTAAGTAGAGTCTACAGTCAGAGTATATTCAGCCCAATTACTTTAGCACTTTCTCTGTTTCTGTGACTTTACAGTGGTAAGAATTTTGAAGTTCTAGGAGTTTTGAAACATCACATAAATATTGAAGCTTAAGTACTTAATGTATGCTTACTAAACCTGTACGATAGGTTAATGCGTTTTAGAGTGATTGTCAGCGTTGGAAACAGAGTTTTCTACCTAACTTTCAGCTAACTGAAATATTCACTCTCTTAGCAGTCTGGTTAATTAAGGTTTTGCTGTGATAGGTTTCTTTGCTTCCTTAATTTTCCCCCTTTTTAGGTATGTATTATGTACCTATTTATGGTATGTACTTAGGTATGTAACTTAAAACAAGTTTTAGGTTAAGTGGTTAAACATCAGGGATTTTTTGGTAGATGGAGCACCAGTCTCCTTTCTCAGGTTGTTTGATTTTTGTTTTTTTAAATCTACTTGTCATTTTCTGAAAATGCTCATTCAGGATTAAACTTTTTGGTAGCATCATTATATAGCTACACATATCCATGAAGACTCTTGTTATATTTTGTGATGTGATATACTGAGAACTTTAAAGGAAAAAAAAAGCCAAAAAGAACATCCCACAAAAAACTCCTTTAACCTCAAAAACATACATTGTGTGGCAGATACTTAGATGCAACGAAACTGAAACAAATATACTACACTGACTGTTTAATTGCTTTCCTTGTACCATTTAATAACTACCCTGAGGTTCTAATCGTAGCACTTTAGAAGAACACGATTCCTGCCTTTGAGTAGTATTCAACAGAGAAAATAAATCATAGAATGATAAAATGTGTACTTTTTAGATACTTCCTGGAGTGCTTTCTCTTCCCTGTCCTCCTTCCCTCCTTCCAGTTTTCTTCCCTCTTCCATTCCCTAACCCCTTTCCTTCTTTCACCTAATTCGGTCTCATTATAGATCATGAATCGAAGTAGTCCCCTCTTATCTATGGGGGGGATATGTTTCAAGACCCCCCTCCAGTGGGTGCTTGAAACCATGGATAGTATACTATATGTGCTATACCCTATATACATTATGTTTTTTCCTGTATGTACATACCTATGATTATAAATTAGGTGCAGTAAGAGATCAACAACAATAACTAAAAACAAATATTATAACAATATACTGTAACAAAAGTGTTTCTTTTTTCTAAGTCAAGAGCTTCTACCTTTTCCCTTAAAGGAAGCACCCTTTTTCTTTTTCTTTTTTTTTTTTTTTAGACAGAGTGTTACTCTGTGTAGCTCAGGCTAGAGTGCAGTGGTGCCATCTTGGCTCACTGCAACCTCCATCTTATCTCCCGGGTTCAAGTGATTCTCTTGCCTCAGCCTCCTGAGTAGCTGGGATTACAGTTGTGAGCCATCAACGCCTGGCTAAGTTTTGTGTTTTTAGTAAGACAGGGTTTCACCATGTTGGCCAGGCTGGGGAAGCACTTTTTACAGCTTCTCTTTGGCATACCTGAATTGCCAGCATCATTACTTTTGCCTTTTGGGGGCGTTATTAAGTAAGGCTTTCTCGAACACAGGCATTGCTAGACTGAGACATTCGATGTGATGACTAAGTGAGAGGTGGTGCATATAACGTGGATATGCTGGACAAAGGGATGATTTCATGCCTGAAATAGAGCTGGATAGAGAATCAGCTACTCAGAATGGTGTGCAGTTTAAAATTTACAAATTATTTCTGGAATTTTTCATTTAATATTTTTGGACCATAGTTAACCATGAGTAACTGAAGCCATACAAAGCAAAGTATGGGAACTCAAACTAAGATGTCTTGGAAGTACAACTCTGTGGGGTTTTATTACTAATGAAATGCTCTTATGTTTCTTTATTTAGGATTGGACTCTGTGATTTTACTGAAAGTGAAAGATTCCCAGACTCCAGCTCCCAGGTAAACTTTAGAAAAAGCTTGTTTGTTGTTTGTCTCTTTATTTTTTCGAGATGGAGTCTCGCTCTGTCGCCCAGCCTGGAATGAAGTGGCACAATCTCAGCTCACTGCAACCTCCGTTCCCTGGGTTCAAGTGATTCTCCTGCCTCAGTCTCCCGAGTAGCTGGGATTACAGGCACCCGCCACCATGCCCAGCTAATTTTTGTATTTTTAGTAGAGGCGGGGTTTTGCCATGTTGGCCAGGCTGATCTCAAATTCCTGACCTCAGGTGATTAATCCGCCTTGGCCTCCCAAGTGCTGGGATTGCAGGCATGAGCTGTGCCCAGCGTAAAAGTTTGTTCTTAAACATACTGTTTTCCGTTTCTTTAATCACAGTTTTTTCACTAAAAGTTATGTACTGTAAAACTGTCTCAATGCAGACCTCTCTCACGTGTTATTTAAATTATTTCAGTGGCTTTCTAATTGTTATTCATTCAGCATCTGTTTTGTTCTTATCTTCCACCATACCATGTTCTTGAAACAATTCTTCTACCTTGCTCGGTTTTTGTTTTGAGACAGGGTCTTGCTCGGTCACCCAGGCAGGAATGTGGGGCACGATTGTGGCTCACTTCAGCCTTGAACTCCTAGGCTCAAGTGATCCTCCTGCCTCAGCCTCCTGGTTCTTTAGTCCGTCTTCCATGCTGCAATCGGAGTGATGTTTCAAAGTTCGTGTCTGATCATTCATTAAAGGGGTTTAATGATTATTTATTAAATTCTTTCAAGAGTGGTTTATCAGACATCAAATTAAGCTCACATTCCTTATTGTGGTATACAAAGCACATCTTTCTCAACCCTCTTTCTCACTTTAACAGGTATTTACCAGTATTTACTGAGAGCCTACTTTGTGCCAGGTACTGATATAGATATTGAGGATAAGAGTGAACAGGAGCTTGCATTCTAATTGAGGGGAAGGGTCAAGGACAGACAGTGAACAAATAAATGGATATGCCTGGTGATGGTAAATGCTATGAAGAAAACTGAAGCAGGGTAATATGTAGAGTAGGACGGAGGACACTATTTACCTAGGGTGGTCATGGAAAGGCTCTGATAAAGTCACATTTGAGCAGAGCCATAATGGAGGTAAGAGGGAGCCATATGGAAATGAGGGACTCTTTCATGTGTTTTTATAAGCTGGACTGTTTTTAGTTTGTAAATGTGATAAGCATTTCTTGCCTTTACATTCAGTGTTCTTTTTGCCTGGAATGTCCTCTCTACTTCAACTTGTTCTGCCAGTAGTCTCTTATCTTTTAGGTCTCAATTCAAATGTGAACTTCTGCATGAAACTTTACTTATCTGGAGGTATCAAGTACTTCTTCCTCTGTATGATTGCTATGGCTTTGCCATATTTGCCTTTGGGAATTCAGTTGCTAGGATGAGAATAATACCAGTTTTCTGTTGAGAAGATTAAGGATAATGAAATATTCTTTCTCATCTCAGTTCCCCCACTTCTTTGCAGCTCCCATATGTTCTAAGACTGAGATATTTCTTAAAATTCTCTATTTGTTAAGTCTTTTAGGGAGACGTGATAGATGTGATAGTTTGGATTCTTTATTTCTTACAGTTTTTTTGGAGTCAAATCTGCCTTCTAATCTTAGGTTGGAAAAAGCTTCATGTAGTTTTGGATAAGTTACTCTTCTGAACCTCAGTTTCCTTGTCAATAAAATGCCGGTATTATAAGTTAATCTGTGAAGATTAACTTACAGATAAACCAGGAATTTTTATAAGTGTTTCACATGAAATACTACAAAATACGTGCACCTTTCTTGGGAAGAAATTGATCTATCAGGTAAAGAGTTAATCTCAGTTCCTCAGTGGTTCTTTGCTAAAACTGTCTTTCCTTTATGGAAGATTTCTCCTAGTGGTGACTAAAGAATGAGATGGATGGAGAAATGGTCTGTTGGGCAAGGCTGTTTGAGTGATGCTCTTTGTCAAAGTTGGAGCCTCCTCTGCTGAGGCTTGGTTTATTGGCTCTCTTAATTCTTCACAGTGGTGGAAAAGTTTTTCTTGTATTTCTCAGAATATGCCATGTTGTGTCATACCTCTTTGCCTTGATACATTCTGATCCTTCTGTCTGGATATCCCTTTCTTTTTCTACTCGGTAAGCTCCATTTTGCTTTTCTTTTCTATCTCTTTTTTTTTTTTTTTTTTGACGGAATCTTGCTTTATTACCCAGGCTGGAGTGTAGTGGCATGATCTCAGCTCACTGCAACTTCTACCTCCCAGGTTCAAGCCATTCTCATGCCTTACCCTCCAGAGTAGCTGGGATTATAGATGCACACCCCCACACTGGCTAATTTTTATATTTTTAGTAGAGACGGGGTTTCACATGTTAGCCAGGCTGGTCTTGAACTCCTGACCTCAGGTTATTCACCTGCCACGGCTTCCCAAAGTGCTGGGATTACAGGTGTGTGCCACTGTGCCTGGCCTTATGTTGCTTTTCAAAATCTCATCCAGGTGTCATTTTTTTTTTTTCAGAAGATTTCTATGACTGCCAGATAACAAAGTCCTTTCCTTCTATCCTTCTACCTTGTTTGTTACTAATAACCTTTGTACATGTCACCCATTGCTGCTCATAGTGCTTGCCATATGATGGGTGCCTAGTAAATAAATCTTTGTTAAATAAATGAATTTCCTAGAGGGCCGGAAGTGCTCTCTTGAGTAGCCCAAGTACTCATTTTTCTCCTCTTTGTTTAATGCTTTGATCTATTGAAAGACACTTAACACTAGTAGAAAGAACACAGTCTTTGGATTTGGACAGATGAGATTTCTAATCCTGGCTTTTCAAGGGAAATTATCTCTTTGAACCTCCGTTCTGAATAGTACGAGTGATAATTCTTCGTTATATATTGTGTTGAGGTTTAAATAATACGGGGATTTTCATTAGGCTTAACTAGAGCAGTTTTGCATGTGGAGCGCTAGGCATGTGCTCATACAATAGTTGTAGTTATTATTATTGTATGCCTCAGTTACATGGGAAATAATGCATCTCTTTGGAAAAGCAGCTTTCCCCTGGATTTTGTTTTCCTGCGCCAGTGGATACCTTGATCCATTGAAGAAAACTGTTTGCTCCTATATTACTTGTTTATTCAAGAAATACTAAATGGTTGGGCACAGTGGCTCACGCCCCTAACCCCTTTAGGAGGCTGAGGTGGGCAGATCACCTGAGGTTGCGAGTTCGAGAGCAGCCTGGGCAACATGGTGAAACCCCTTACTTACTCTCTACTTAAAAAAGTACACACATGCACACACACGCCAAGTGTGGTGGTGGGTGCCTGTAATTCCAGCTACTCAGGAGGCTGAGACAGGAAAATCTTTTGAACCCAGTAGGTAGAGGTTGCAGTGAGCCAAGATTTTGCCAGTGCACTGCAGCCTAGGCAACAGAAAGACTCCGTCTCAAGAAAAAAGAAAAAGACTAAATGCCTACTATGTGCCAAGCACTATTCTAATTGCAGAGGACTTTTTTTAAAAAGAGATACTGTCTCACTATGTTGCCCAGGCTTGTCTTGAACTCTTGGCTCAAGCAATCCTCCCAGCTCAGCCTCCCAAAGCGCTGGGATTATAGGAATAAGCTACCATGCCTGGCCTCTGATCCAGGTCTCTTAACTCCCAATTTAATGCTCTGTTTATTTGTTCTCTATATTTTAAAGTTTTCTTTGGATAAATGTTCACTCTTCTTCCTTTTGTTTCTGTGATAGATCCTACTTAGTTAGGAGTCTGGAGATGAGGAAGCTTGAGAAACACAGGAGGCCGTAGGATAATTAATGATGCCTGTGACTCTGTTAAGCATATCACTTGGATTGTCAGCAAGAGCCACGTGGACCTAGAATTGGTCATCATCCTTGAAGTGGAGTTGTGTTGCTGATTCTCTGCTTTGCCTCATTGGCTTGTTAGCCATTTGATGTAAATTATTTTGTGGATGGGGATTTTTAATAAATCTTTCAACCTGAATCATTTGTGAAGAGTAATGTTCTAGCTTAATGTATTTTGAGAAGTGATATGCTCTTTCACATAATGTTGGTCTCTCATGCTAATAGGGAGCTATGGAAAATTTAATTTCTCTGCTGAATTTTGGGTCACCTTTTTAATTATGTATGCATATGATTCATTTGTGTCTTTTAATTCCCAGTTACGATGACTTTATGTCATTTAGATTCCATTTACTTATTCCATACTTGTAAAGCATTCATATAAACTACTTAAATGATTGTTTTTATTGATGAAAATATTTGAATTTTCTAATAAGCTTCCTGCTCATTTGTAAATTTTTTCTTTTCCCACCCATAGTCCTACTTTCTTCCAGGCAGAGCTGTGGATCAAAGAATTGTAAGTTAACTTTGGTATCATTTTTCCTTCTCAATCACTTTATTTTTAGTTAGAAGAAATCAAACAATTAGATAATCATACTGCTTATTTTTTGCCAATAAGAAGTACCTGTTTAGGCTGGGCATGGCAGCTCACAGGTATGATCCCAGCACTTTGGGAGGCCAAGGTGGGCAGATGACCTGAGGTCAGGGGTTCGAGACCAGCCTGGCCAACATGGTGAAACCGTGTCTCTACTACAAATTCAAAAATTAGCTGGGCATGGTGGCAGGCGTCTGTACTCTCAGCTACTCAGGAGGCTGAGGTGGGATAATCGCTTAAACCCGGGAGGCAGAGGTTGCAGTGAACCGAGATAGCGCCATTGCACCTGGGCAACAAGAGTGAAACTCCATCTCCAAAAAAAAAATAAGAAGAAGAAGAAGAAGTGAAGTATCTGTTTATAATTTTAAGTTGTTGGGTTTTCAAAATTTTGTTGGAGTTGAAACATTTCTATAGTTATGTTTATTAAATCTATAACAATTGTCAAACTTACATTGGAAAACCATTTTAAGTTAGCTATTATATCGTAGGGAAAATAAATGCTCCTGTTTTGGCACTGGTAAAACTAGCTTATTGAATAACTCATATTTCTAGACTTGCAAAATCACTGAAAGCATATAGCCTTAAGGAACCCACTTTAGTAAGTTATCTAAACCCCTTGGTCTCGGTAATTTTTAAAAAAATCTATCCAAAATACAGTATTTGAATTAAACTTCACTGATACCTGTATTAGTTTCTCCTTTGGGATTTAATCCCATTTTTGGATTTCCGATTGAAGTTTTGGTTTCACTTTAATCTTAAAACATGTTAAGAAAAGAACTACTCATGGCTGGGTGTGGTGGTTCACACCTGTAGTCCCAGCACTTTGGGAGGCCGAGGCAGGCGGATGACGAGTCAGAAGATTGAGACCATCCTGGCTAACACGTTGAAACCTCATCTCTACTAAAAATACAAAAACTTAGTCTTTCTTGGTGGCATGCATCTGTAATCCCAGCTGTTCGGAAGGCTTAGGCAGGAGAATCACTTGCATCTAGGAGGCGGAGATTGCAGAGAGCGGAGATTGCACCACTGCACTCCAGCCTGGGTGACAGTGTGAGACTGTCTCAAAAAAAGAAAGAAAGAAAGAAAGAAAAGAACTACACGTTTACAGATGTTCCCAAGTCATCATTCACATTTAGCAGCACACTAATATTTTTAGTAGATTCAGTAAAATTAGTTTTAGTGTGGTAATCACACCTGTAATCCCAGTACTTTGAGAGGCCAAGGTGGAGGGGTTGCTTGAGCCCAGGGGTTTGAGACCAGCCTGGGCAACATTGTGAGACCCTATCTCTATAAAAAATAATAATAATAATTTCAGTAAAAATAGTAGGGTAATTTCAGTAACATTATGTGGTTTTACTCTGTTTTAAAATAAGGATGATAAGTTGGTAAGTTAGTGCCAAGATCTTAGACTTTCCTTGCGAGAGTCTTTGTGTACTTACGATGTACTCAGTGTACATCAACAATGTGTTTGATACCATGAGAGTGGTCCACATTTGGTCACATTCTTTTTCATTTTCTAGAACTAGTGTTTATGATTCTCGAGCACGAGAAAGATTGCGCCAGATTAAAGAACAGAAAGCATTGGCCTTACAGCTTCAAAACCAGGTAAAAAAGAAAATCGGGATAATATTATAAATAAATAGTACATCCAAGTAGAAACTATTTTGGAAAGTTACCCAGATTTGGGTAATTGCTGTTGTAATTCCAAGATTTTATGGTAGCATAGCGTGTTATGCTAATGTGATAAATGTTCTTGGTCTGTACGGTCAGTACTATTCATTATACATAAGATAGTCTCCTACTTCTGATGGTTTGACTAATGATTTCTTGACTTTACAAAAAAGTGAAAGCAGCACGTATTCCAGCAGGCTCCTTGACTTGGGACATAACTTTATCATAAGTCAAGGAACATCTGTGGATTTCTTTATCCCACTTACTCTGAAGCTTTTTCTTTCAGAGACTGCAGGAGCGGGAACATTCCGTACATGATTCAGTAGAACTGCATCTTCGTGTACCTCTTGAAAAGGAGATTCCTGTCACTGTTGCCCAAGAAGCACAAAAAAAGGGCCATAAATTAACTGATAGTGAAGATGAATTTCCTGAAATTACAGAGGTAAATTACATACACTTAATTTCTATACTACCAAGTATTATGTGTAGAAGGAATTCTTTGGATGAATTTCAAACAAAAAGCAATAGTGGCTGGGCGCTGTGGCTCACACCTTGGGAGCACTTTGGGAGGGTGAAGCAGGTGGATCCCTTTAGGTCAGGAGTTGGGACCAGCCCGGCTAACATGGTGAAACCCAACTCTACTAAAAATACAAAAATTAGCTGGGCGTGGTGGCATGCGCCTATAATCTCAGCTACTTGGATGGCTGAGGCAGGAGAATTGCTTGAACCCGAGACTCTGTCTCAAAAAAAAAAAAAGGCAATAGAACACATGGTATTTAAATTTGCTTGTAAATTTCTGCTTTCACCTATTTTACATACCAATCTGGGCTTTATTTTTTAGATATAAAAATAGATAAATGAACTGCGGGTGGCTTTTAACAACTTCAGTGAACAAGCGTTTAATACGTTTGTTTTTTATTTCAGGTGCATTTTTACTTAATGCACCCATACAATAGTTTGACTCAAATTGTAAGCTGAGACTTGCTATTATTTTTTAAGTAATAAAACCCATTATGGAAAATTTGGAAAATATAGAGGTGTCTGTGTACATTTGTAAATAATCTGTTTCTTTATCCGTGCTTCTCTTTGAAAAACTACCACGTAGCTGGTGAGCATAACACATTTATTATAGTTATGCTGAATTCCATATTTTACATTTAAAATTAAAAGATCTCTAAGAAAGTTTCTGAAAGGCACTGCCTTTACTCTCTTACTACCTTTTATGAGAAATTCTATTTCTTAGGAAGTTATTTGGACCAGAGATATAAAATACAGTTAATTTTTCTCATGGACCCAGTTTGATAGCAGGAGGTTATTTCAGACTTCAGGAGTTAATATGGAAACAAGGGTCTGAAGGTTGTGCTGGAAAAGAGAAGGGAGGACTAGATGAAGTGGAAAGAAGTAACTGGGGTTACTGGGAAGAAGTAGAAACTAAAACTTCCGGAGAAAATTGATTAACAGTAAATTTATAAACAATTGAATAGTGATCAATACAGTCTGAGGATTATATGGGGTTTGGTGAGAAATCTGGTTTGTCTGAAGCCACGTGTGTTTGATGTCTTGGCACCTTTTGTTTTCCTAGGAAATGGAGAAAGAAATAAAGAATGTATTTCGTAATGGGAATCAGGATGAAGTTCTCAGTGAAGCATTTCGCTTGACAATTACACGCAAAGATATTCAAACTCTAAACCATCTGAATTGGCTCAATGATGAGGTAAACTTGCACCTGTTTTTACATACAAATAGTAGACATTAAGTGGCAGTTAAATTAAGGCATTATCTCACCATTTCTCAAAATATGGTTCATCGATGACCTGCACTGGAATCCTCTCTCATAGGCCTCTTCGTTGTCTTAAGTGTGAAGGAGTGTGGTGGTGACAGGCATTATTAACAGACATCTCAGGTGTATTTTAAAATAAAGTCTGAGAACCACTGAATTTACCTTTTCTTGTACTGAAGATTTGAACCCTGAAGAAGACATTCACTCAGTGGTATTCTCAGTCTCTTTAAGGCTTCTGCTCTGCAGTTTATCTTTTCTGAGCATGTAAGTATAAACTGACCACGCTACAGCATGAAGGAATGCACTGGGATTTCTTTATGAGAATCCAGTTCTACTTCCCTTTCTACCTACTTGTTTTAGATCACTTACATTGTGAAGGATAAGCTTTCCAAAATACCCTGCATTTATATATGGTATGAAAATGGACATGAAGAAGTTATTAAATATGTGAGGTACTGGGGGAGAGGTTATGGTCCTCACCTTGCAACTCCAATTTATTTTAAGTATATTAATTACATGACCATTTTTAAACTGATCTAAACCTGTAGATACCTGTTTTATTTTAGAAGGATTTTTTCACATCAAAAGAAAACTGGGTTGGGTATCTTTCCCTAAGTACTTCCTTTCTGTGAGCATCCCTGCCTAATTTGAGTATACTCAAGCTTCACAGCTGTAGAGGATTTTTAATTTCTCAGTGTAGTAATCATTAAATATTCTAGATACTCATATCCTGTTTTATGTGATCAGGACCTTCCAAATAATATTTGCTAATCACTATTGAGCATTTACCTCATTAGGTACGATTCGTGTTTTATGTATTTTATTCATGTAATAGTCATCATATCTTTGGAGGTAAATATAATAGTTTTATCATCTCCATTCTACAGATAAAGAAAGAAGGGATAAAAAGATTTTAAAACTTGCAAGGTTATACAGCTAGTAAACAGCAGAGCCAAGATTTATCTACTATAATCTTACTACCTCAGAATCCTAAATGGGATCCTGGACTTAGGAACAGATACATAGAACTTAGGAGCGACGTATCATGCACAGGATGCTGGCTTTCTCTGGGGCCAGCCCCATTCTTTTTGCGACTAGTTAGTTTATAAGATAAAATTTTCAGAAACTCATCACTCCCTGAATAATATTTGTTACCAAGAATAATATGGAAGGCATGATTTGTTACTGTCTTTCTTTAGAAGAAATCCTTTTTGCTTCTTTTGGCTCAAATATTACAACACTCGATCCAATAATGGAAGAAAAGAGCTCACTAAGTCAAAGAAGGAAATGAAAATCAAGGGTAGGTATAAGTATCCACTGATAGTTTATTTTTGATCTGTGGTCCTTTGCCATTATTTCCTGCCACTGCTGGTGGGCAGAGGTCGGTTATTCTGAAGGGATAGTAGCCTTTAGTGTGTTGTAAATCATGGAAAACCTCCTAGAGGGCAGCAATGAGTAGGATATGAGCTGAGTTGTTACTATTTACTGTGGCATTTACCTCGGTGAGATTCCTTACAGAGACAGCATTCATCAGGACATATTTTCCATTCCCGGGGCCCATCAGAGGCTGGATTTTTAGCAAGCTAAGTTAATGGAAATTACATTATTTGAGAGGAGATGAGAGGAAGGAAAGATTCCTTGTCTACTTTATCCCTGCCACACCCAGCCATAACTTGGTAGAGCGAGTGCATTTCTTCTCAGTTCAGGATGATGTTATCCTTGAAAGTGGGTGCCAATTCACATGTCCATAATAATGATGGGAGCTATCTTAAAAAGCACCATTTTCAAAGTACCATACTTTTTAGGCTTTCAAAGTTACTGCCCTTGGGAAACAAACATCCTGATGGAGTGTTAGTTGATATCCTTAAGTATTGATGCTCATTGAAGAATACTTAATTTTGGCCAGACACAGTGACTCATGCCTAAATCCCAGCGCTTTGAATGGCTAAGGTGGGAGGATCACCTGAGGCCAGGAGTTCAAGAGCAGCCAGGGCAACAGAGCAAGACCCAATCTCTACAAAAAAATTTAAAAATTAGCCAGCCGTGGTGCCTGTAGTCCCAGCTCTTCCGGAGGTTTAAGCAAAAGGATTGCCTGAATTCAGGAGTTTGAGTTTATAGTGAGCTATGATTGAGCCACTGCACTCTAGACTGGGTGACAGAGCAAGACCCTGTGTCTTTTAAGAACACAGAACTATCCGGGCGCGGTGGCTCATGCCTGTAATCCCAGCACTTTGTTTGGGAGGCCGAGTCAGACGGATCATGAGGTCAGGAGATTGAGACCATCCTGGCCAACATGGTAAAACCCCGTCTCTACTAAAAATACAAAAATTAGCAGAGTGTGGTGGCGTGCACCTGTAATCCCAGCTACTTGGGAGGCTGAGGCAGGAGAATTGCTTGATCCTGGGAGGTGGAGATTGCAGTGAGCTGAGATCGCACCACTGATTCCAGTCTGGTGACAGAGTGAGAATCTGTCTCAAAAAAAAAACCCACAAAACTTAATTCTGCTTCTCCATTATGAACTATGAATCTTCTTTTGCAAATAGTCTGTCCTCTGTTCAGTTCTCTTCTTCCCTCAAATAGATATTTGCATTAATAACCACTTATCTTTTTCTGTTTCCTGTTTTATAAGATGTATTAAAACTTTCTCCAAAATAGGTGACTGATACATTTTCTTACCATTTTATAAGCAAAGTACCATATTTTATAGGCTTTCAGAGTTACAAAGGAATATAAGAACCAGGAAGTAAAAGGAATCAGATTCAGTTTACAAGGAAGATCAAATCCAGAAATCCTATGTTTGGGATATGTATGGAAAGCCATTAGGCGACCCTGTCCCTGAAAGAAAAGTAGACCACAGTACCTATTCATACAATAGGGTTGAAGTCTTTTTTTCATAAATGGATTTCTCTATAGGTGAGTTTGGTTAAATTCTGTACAGCTTCAAAGGACTAATGATTGACAGGATTAATATAATACAATGAAACGTCTCAAAAATGGAATGTGGGAACTGGCTGCCATACAAAGAAAACAAAAGGGCTTTTCACAAGATGGCACCAAAAGTGAAGAAGGAAGCTCTGGCCCATCGTAAAGCCAAAGCCAGAGTGAAGGCTTCAAAGGCCAAGAAGGCAGTGTGGAAAGGTGTCCACGGCCACAGAAAGAAAGAAGGTCTGCACGTCACCCGCCTTCCGGTGGCCAGGACACTGTGCCTGACTCCGGAGGCAGCCCACATAGCCCTAGAAGGACACCCCCAGGAGAAACGAGCTTGAACCACTATGATATCAAGTTTTCACTGACCACTGAGTCTGCCATGAAGAAGATAGAAGACAACAACACGCTTGTATTCATTGTGGATGTTAAAGCCAACAAGCACCAGATCACACAGGCTGTGAAGAAGCTCCATGACATTGATGTGGCTAGCCAAGGTCAATGCCCTCATTCGGCCTGATGGAGAGAAGAAGGCATAGGTTCGACTGGCTCCTGATGACAGTGCTTTGGATGTTGCCAACGAAATGGGGATCATCTAAACTGAGTCCAGCTGGTTAATTCTAAATATATATATATATATATATATATATATATATATATATATTCACCATTAAAAAAAAAAAGAATACAAAAGGAGGACTGTTAAAATCAGGACACTAGGCTGGGCATGGTGGCTCACACCTGTAATCCCAGCACTTTGGGAGGCCGAGGCAGGCAAATCACAAGGTCAGGAGATCAAGACCATCCTGGTTAACACGGTGAAACCTTGTCTCTACTAAAAATACAAAAAAATAGCCAGATGGGGCATTCGACTGTCCCAGCTACTCGGAAAGCTGGAGGCAGGAGAATCACTTAAACCCAGGAGGTGGAGGTTGCAGTGAGCTGAGAGCACCACTGCCCTCTAGCCTGGGTGACAGAGCGAGACTCCATGTCAAAAAAAAAAAAATCAGGACACAGTAGATAGGAATTTCTATATTGGATCAGGAGATTAGTTATTAATAGAAATATCTAATTAAGAGAAGGGAGGATAGAATTAGAGAGAGGAGAAAATACGCCAGGAGCAGTGGCTCATGCCTGTAATCCCAACACTGGGAGGCTGAGGTGGGAGGATTGCTTGAGCCCAGGTCGTGGAGGCTGCAGTGAGCTATGATTGTGTCACTGCACTCCACTCCAGGGTGGATGACAGAACAAGACTCTGAGACCCTGTCTCAAAAAAAAAAAGAGAGAGAGGAAAAATTAGTTACCAAGGTAGAAATAGATTGCAATAGTCAAGAAACAGAAGAAAATATTTTCAAATGGGTGTCAATATTAGAAATTATGTATTAATTCCTGGAGATTGAATTGAATAACTTTTGGAATCCCTTCCAACTTTAAAATTGTAGGTTTATTATCCTGAGACAAGTACTGCTTTAGGGTTCACATTTCTCTTGATGGCTAAATAGTCCTTTGAGGGACTAACGCTTGTTTTAAAAGGCATCAGATAAATTTGGAAATACACGGATATAATTTAGGTATACAAGTAAATAAAACTGACTTTTGCTTCTGGTCATGATAAAGGAGACACGAGTTACCCTTTCAACTTAACTAGAAAATTAGACAAAACATGAAATAACAATTTTCAGACACTGGATAACAGGCAGTACCAGGCAGTGATCCCTGAGGGAAGGGAAGTAAAGGGATTCATGCTGTAAGGTCCCCAGCTTCCTGGGATGTGTGTGTTGAAAAGGAGGCACTAGTAGATAGAACCTTTGCAGAGGGGTTCCCTTCCAGTCTTTGGCTGAGTACCAATTTGTGCTTATATGAGAAGAAGCTACCAGAGGCTGGGGAAAGAACCATCAGAAAAAAGAAATCAGCACATTCTTAGGACCAGCACAGGTGTCAATAGTTATGTTCCAACCAATTAGAGTCGAGAAACCTAACTCACGGGACATTGAATAGAATCCTCAGAG